TGTACCATTGGTCGAAAAGCGGGAAAGGTGAGAAAACTGTTAATCTATCATGTTTGATGAGGAGCGATTTAATAGATCCCCATGGAGTCGGTAATTTACTGCATGCTGTGACAATAAAAAATAAGTCGTCCACATTTGGAGTCAGAGGAAGAGTTAAGTGCACGTGTACTAATGTTTTAACAAATTTCTGGTCTATATCTGGATACAATTCCAACTAGCTAAAGAGGGAGCAGGAAATAGCAGTTGAAAGTATGTTAATGAATCAAGATGTACTTCTCGTGTTGCTGACTGCATATGGAAAGAGTTAAATACAGTCAACTCTCTCTGAATGGACACTCTATAAGATGGACACCTCTATAAGACGGACACCTTGTGCTGGTCCCGGCCGTTTGTCAGTCTTTTTTTCTATAACCAGACTCTCTATAAGATGGACACCTCCATAAGACGGACAACGGAGACTTTGAAATTGTCAACGGACACTTGTGAGGTGCTGAATGTGACAGCAAATTACGATTTAGGGAAGAATTCTTAATTACCAAGTATGCGACTCTTTAACACCAGATGTTTTAATAATTGACAGCTCTTATCTTGTCGGCGGAATACATACAGTCCAAGTTAAAATTTAATCAGTCATTGTCCCAGTCAAAAAATAACTTGGAGGTGACAACCATCAAATTGTATTGTAATGTAAAACAGTTATTTTCTTGCTTTCTTAGCTGAACTACAGCTTTTCCCACTGTTATTCCCTTACTGCTTCCTCTTGCTGCCGGTATTTCTTTCTTGATTCCTCTTTCTTTCTTTCGCAATGTGTTCACTTAACCATTTCACAGCTAGTGAGTTCCCTTTAAATGAATACTGGCAAGGCACTTCTAGACCATAACCACCACCTTGGTTAACTTTTACCACCTTTTTTATTTTTTTATCAAATGTACGATAGCGGATCAAGATCAAAGGCTCCACGCTGTTACAATTGAGCTCACGTCGAACCAGGCGAGTGTTGCGCCCTGGAAAATGCAAATTATTCAAATTTTCTAATAAGCATAGCAAATATTATGTGTCACACAGTTAAACCAGAAAACAAAACAAAGCAAGCGTCAGCCAAAGGTAAGATTCTTCTGTAGCAGTCCGTTTATTCTGATACGATTCTTGAAAATGGTTTTATTGCAGCCTACCGTTTTGAATTTGTAAGGAATATTTTTATTTTTCCTCCTTTCAGTGGCGTGCAAATTAGGTGGCAGTGGTTGGCGAAGATTAGGTCATTGTGCTTTTAAATTCGTGGTCTTATTTGTAAACGAAAAAGCATCGAAATGACAAAATGCGGGATTGTTCATTTGAGTTTGCGAGTAATTTCTTGTGTTAACGCTGCAATACAGTTTTATAACTGGGATTCATGGTAAGATGATATATACTTCTCACAAACTAACATACCTTTTTACGGCGATGAATTTTCATCTATACATCACGTAGTTGAACACTTGAAGGAACTTATTGCAGTTCCTGTTCAGGCTTTTAAGTGGATTTACGAAGTATTTGTCGTTAGCCTTGTTCATGCCTTTTGCTGGATTTCTGAAATATTAGTTGTTAGCCTGTGAACTTAATAGTTTGAGTATCAGGTTAAATTGTGCTTCCCCCTTCATTGCATTATGCTTCAGGTATGAATAATAATAAAAAAAAAAACGTTGTTCACACATTGACATAAGGACAGTGAATATCTGACAAATCGGAACGAGTCTTTCAAGTAATAAGGATTTTCAGGGCTTTTATGTACTGTAATAGAAGCTGTCAACACCAGTTCCCAAATGCACAAAAATATAACGCCACTCAAAAGCGCTCTGATTACAAAATATGATGGAAGTATATATCTTATGTAAAATGCAAAGTCTAATGTTCTTAGAGATTTGCAGTAACAATATATAACAACAGGACTGAGGTAAAGCGTTCCCAAATGCACGAAAACATAACGTCACTGATGTCAAAATATGCTAGGAATATGTAACTTATGTAAAATGCACAGTCTAATAATGTTCTTAGGGATTCTCAATAGTAATATGTAGCAACAGGACTGCGGTAAAGCGGTATTGTCGAAACGGCCTTCGAACTTTTCCGTCTGAAACAATGAAACGTTTTTTATTCCCTTTTTTCGGTTGGCTCTCTATTTTGTCTGTCTGATAGCTATTAACAATACAAGATTCTTATCTTTTTCGTAACAATTTTACTATTCCAGCCATCTGCTTACTTATATTTTCACCAGAGGCCATGCCATTTTGCTGCAACAAAAACAAACAATTTTAAAAGGAAGCCCATTTCAAATAATAAAACTGACAAAGGAACGACATTCAAAGCTACAGGCTCATTTTCAAGAGCTGAAACGCTCGGAAAGCCTTCAAGCTGATGTATTTTTTGAGAAAGAAAAGACCTAAGACCTTGTATTCACGATTAACATCCTGAAAAATTAGGCAATTTACGAGAAAGCCCTCACAAAATCACGGAATGTTGAAAATTCGTATATGTCACGATTTCACAGATCCGAAATCAGATTCAAATTACGAAATGGAAATAGAAGCGAAATAGAACTCGATTTTAATATTGTGTGTAAAAAAAAAAGAAAAAAACAGGAAAATTTTAAAAATGACAAGTACGAAAAACATTCTAATGTAATTGTATGTCTTAAACGAACAAAGTTGAATATTTGTTTTTTAAGCCTTTTAATTCCCACGAGTAATCAGCATACATTTCTCCCAAGATCGTCAAAACATTTATCGGACGAACACGTATGCCACAGAATTCTCAAAACGGATTTGTTGATGTTAGATAGTTCGTTTTAGAAGCGTTTATTGCAACCTACAGGAAAGAGAAATAAAATGGACAATATCAGCTGCATTCACTCTCTACTGTACATGAAATTTATTTGGCACCAGCTAATGACGGAGAAACAATGAAAGATAAAGCTGATTATGAAATTATCTTAACCTTAAGCCGGTCTTACGGCAATAATAGGGAATTTTAACTGAGTGCAATGCAAATTATATAATCCATTCATTTTCTTGGCCATATTTAATTAAGCTAGAAGTGTTTAAACTTGACCGAGAGATAATCATTTTGAATGTGAGGATTTTCATTAAAGATGACACGAAAACGTCAGGAAGGTTTTTCCATAAGCTATACATAACTAAAATTTTGCTTTTGCGCGTCTCAAGTTATCTTATTAAATCGACAAGGAGTTAATATTTTGTGAAGAATTGTTACTTTTTTATCTTTTAATCTTAAGAAATTAAGAAACGTGATACGAGAATGAGGATATTCGTTTATACTTCTAACGATAATTCGTACATTTTACACCTCTCACTAATTTAATTTCATTAACTCGATCAGAAGTTATATTTTAAAAAAGGGATTATCACGCATGAAGTTATTAAAGTGTTAATCTTCTGAAAAAAATACAATCAACAGAAATTAAAAGCCAGGAGGATATATGAAACGTTTCAGTCCTAATGCGCAGATCTAACACGTTGATATTGGTCATCTCTTTTAATCAATCTAGAAAACGCAGCAATCAAATTCATTTTTTAAGCTTATTTGTCAAGCAAGGAATCCGTTCTAAGAGACAGCTTGATAATTATTTTCAAATGGTTTTCTATTTAGTTTTTGCAGCTGGTAGTGACCAGTCAATTCAAAGATATTTCGTTTTGGAGCGCTTGTGAAAGATTGTTACGTTTAAGATCGCAAACCGTATACTCTAGATGCGAAAATAATCCTTCGAAGGTCTTGCTGGCCTCTAAGAGATGGGGATACTTTTAATTTGGGACAGTAGAGACCTACTGGTTTTACTTTAAGGAAACCCAAGTCAGCGAACGCCGGTTTTGATCCCATACTTATGGCCATAGTTTTATCTTGACTGGTTTCTAAGTGACAGAAGAAACCATTGTCAGTAAAATTGTACTACATTGCTTTTGAATAATGAAAATCATGTCCGAAATTTATACCATTCTCGTACAGTCCAGACGAGGTTAATTGACAAATATCTTTGCAGTTTCGAAAGTGTATGCCACAATAGGCATGGGCTAACTTTGTTACGGCGATAAACGTACAAGAGCTCGAGATCAGCAGTTTTTGTGAATATGGAATTTCGGGAGCTGGTGTTTAAATTGGTGTTTAATCTGAACTTAACAGTTTACAAAAACAATCACCCGACTGATAAAAATGAATTGTGGACAACCCTTTGTCCAAAACTGAAGTGGATCTATGACAATCCTACATTTCCAGGGCCGGTCCTTTTAAAGGCCAGTACTTGTATGAGTTGCGACACGGTTTGCTCCTCTTCAAAAGTTTAGCCTAAAATTTTTCAAGTTCGTCGTTTGCAATCCGCGTCAATCTTCCTCATCCTTAACCATCCTTGTTTCTTTATGGTTTATTATTATTAGTAAACAATTATTTTCAGGCGGTTCCTTCAATTTAAAGAAAATTTTGTATGTGGCCAGAATCACTCAAGATACCGTAACTGGGCTCCCTTATGCCATAGAAGGGGCACCCTGCAGGTCATGTAGATGGCACAGGGTTTCCACTGTACAATGCCGGTGGCCTTTCTGTGATGCACATATCCGCCGTGATTTTAATTTGAAATCAATTGTCAGTTTGGTTATTAAAAATGTATGACAGAATACTGTCAATTTTGGTGTGAGTCAGAGACCACTTTTACTTCATGACTGTCATTTTAAGCCAGAAATTTATTCAAAGAAAACAATATTTTCGATCACTCCTACATCCGCGCAACGCCCAAATCTTTGTAGGGAAACGGTTTGTATATATAAGCTTTTCCTTATTTGTCTTTTTAGTATAATATAAATGCCTCTCTACTCTATAAATGTAAATTTATGTACCTACAAGTGATCGAAACGGAGGGTTCTTATTAATACGTGCAATTCCAAGAACCCGACCGATCTAACCAAAACCTTCCTCACCGGTCAATCTTGGCGTCTGCCTCATCCAAATTATATTTTTGTGGCTGGGGAAACAATTTAAAAAAGAAGCATGATAATTCGTACTTTTAGATTATAATGTTTTAGAAATAATCACTGAAATACACCTAAAACTGTAATTGATCGGTAAAAGATTGAAATAATAACAAATATGAAATTTATGAAAAGCGAGGTGTACAGTTCATTTCATAAAATTCAAAGGAAAAAAAAAATAAACGTCGCATAAAATGTGTATAGTTTACGTTTCCAAAAATTGCGTGTTATTTAAGGTAATTACGTTCACAGCAACCCATACCTGCCATGATTGTAAAACAAACATCTCTCGCCTGGGCCAATTGAAAACTGGCTTTAAATGGTTGATGGAAGTAGCCATAAAAATTATCTGTGTAATGAATAAAATTATTTTGGGTTTGCTTTCAACAGAGCTATAGAAAATCTACAACATCTGTCCTACTCTGTATTACGAGAGAATATGTTCTTGTTGGTTTCAAGGGAGTTAGTGTCAGAGGTAATTAGAACTACTGTGGGGTTTGAATAAATCTCTCGTCATGACAGGCACATCAAAGCGAAACGGCTCAAAGATCTTGTCCAGCGGTTTACGCTAATACGAGTCGAGAGTAGAGCTGTCTTCTAATCGAAGCCACAGCCATAACAGGATTAGCAGCTAGTCGATGTTTCCAATTGGAAGCACACTCATGACCAAACAGTGCTAATATATGGCGATTGGAAAAGCAAATAAGAAGAAATGAACCTCAAGCGATAGCACCATCCGCGTAAGTCTCTTGCTCAGTTTTTTACTTTTGTCACTTCATTTAATATGTCTAATGGTCCTTTGTCTAAATGTTGTTCACACATATACCAACCTAAAGCTAATAGTTCACCGAGTTTTGAACGTGCAATGAATGGATTCGTATGCAGTTATAATATCTCGAAAAGTAAGGAAACGTTTATGCGAATTTAGTCAAAAAAGCTGTTTTTGAAAGAGGAAATTGTTATATTTGTCAGGCTGAAATGCTAACGAAGACAGCCTAGCGTGTTCTGCTGATGACAACTATTAAATCCTCTGCCTTTTAGGATCAAGTTCAAAACTTAAGCTATTTATTTTCATGTTTTCAACCTTACTTAATTTTTATTTCATCTTTCCTTGCAAAAAATGAATTGTCTAAACAAGATTCAACATTATTCATTCTATGTAGCATGGAATAATTATGCAGATCCTGTCATATCAGGCGCAATAACATAATTATTTTTCTCTGTCAACATAACGATCTTAAATGGCTTTTTATTTTCCCTGCGATAATGGGACGTAAAAAGCCACAAGCTTTTAGAACTTCATACATTAACAGATTTATGCGAGTCTATAGTTTTACACCATTGCGTTTTTAAGCCAAAATAGTTCCCTAGCAAAACAAAGGCACTTCAAAGCGGAACAATTTCTCCAAATCAACAAGGTACATTTCTTATCGATGCTCCTGTTCTCGAAATAAACAATTATCAACATGTAGAGAACTATGTCAGCAAAATCCTTAAACGATATACTGTTATATTCACACCAGTCAATATTTCTGATGAGTCATGCTTGATCTGTGTATTAAATATCTGACTCCATGGACCGTCAATCACGTATGTATGTTAAATAATTAACACGCAAGGGAAAATTAACTGCGTTTGATATCATAATTTGTCTGACTTGTGGAAACAAATCTAATGTGAGGCTGAGTGTTCAAAAGGAAAAGAAAAAATAATTGGTCCATAACACAGCACTGTAAACCGATATTACTGGTGCATCGAACACGAACACGAAAATGTATAAAATAAAATAATAACAAAAATGTTGTCTTCGATTGCTATTTCTGGTGAAGAATAATTTATATATTTCCATGAAAGCTATTTTATGCATGTGCAATTATAAGTATAAAGCAAAGAAAATGGAAAAGTTAATTTTCACAGCGGGTTGAATATTCCGATTTTGTTGATTTATCTGCCCTTGCCTCTTCACTCGAGGCGTGGACAGACTAAAGAAACAAACAAAGAAGCACGCACACAAAAATACTAATATTCCGCGAATATTGCTATTGAATATAACGGCGAATAGTATTTGAGAACAAATTGTTCTTCAGAATTAAAGTTGGTATTGGAGAGTAGTATCTTGAGACAAAATCAAGTTCTGAAAGCGAGAAAAGAAATTGCCAAGGTAGTGTTATTGTTCTATTGCAATGCACAGTCACTCCAGTAAATGTTTGTTTTGTCTCGGTTGGGCCATTTGTTACGAGAGACACAAGCTCTTAGTATGTACGCCCTCTGTAGTCATATGCATCGGATAGTTCACAGGATACCCACGTATTGTTGAATTATTATTATATCAACGGTAGAAATAAATTAAAGGCTAGATGTTCCCCCAGGGAAATTTATCGTTAATAAATGAAACAGCAGACATTTCGCCTTATTTTTACTTCCGATGCTTTTAAATCTTCTTCAGTTTGTCTAAAGAAACCGCTTTACGTGGACTACTGCAAATTCCTTCCAAAACGAGTCAGAAAAGACACGAAAAGACAGGTAAATCAGGCTACCTTTATTGTATGTTGGTCATTGAAAAAGCACATGTAGGTTACCATTGGTTATGTGAAAAGTCTGTGTAAGATTGACTAGTCTGTTGCCATGAAAACAGGAGAGAAAGCCTTGCTGTTGACAACACATCCCCGAACCTGTCTAGTCACACATGAGGAATATTCTATTCTCCCAAAGCGAAGGTGAGAATTGTTAAAGGGCCCTAGTCAGCCTTACGTTTGTTTTTGTTTACATGCGAGATTTTGGCTATTATATTTTATTCAGAGCACATCGAAAAGAAGGAAAATACTGTGAAACTACGAAAGATAATTAAACATACTTTCAGGAAAACAACTTACTGTAAAGCAATAAGATTTCCCTCCACCATGGAATATCAATAATTTCGATTGCATCGAAAATAGCGGAGAGTGACAAGGGTCCTTTAAGCACCTTCAAAAGCAAGCCAGACACTTCAGAGTGTACTCTAGTAGAACGAATTTTTGTTCATTTGTATAGAGTTAGTGCAAAGCAAACGTGGTCTTTTTCAAAACCACCCATTTGATTGGCTGCCATCGTTGACTATTCAACGATAGTCAACGCGCTATCTTTATGGCATGCAATTCTTACATCAAGTACTTACTGCATGCATGTTTATCTTTTCAAAATGGCTGGAAAAACACCCTCACTGCGCCATCCCTGCTCCCCCAAAATTGACTGATAACAGAAAAGTGGGCTGAAAGTTCAACTGATAACTCAGATTCCAGCAGCGCCAGTACCCCCATCAGGGCCCTCTAAATAATATCGCCGCATAAAGCAGTTTATTATTATTTTCGTGAACAAATGCCATTAGGCGTGATTAAGCTGTTCAGTTGTTTTCAAACAGACAGAACGGCACCTGGCTTAAGTCAATGTAGTCTTGACATTACGACAGAACGCTTAGATTTTTTTTTTTCATCTTTAATACATCATTTGAAAAAGTCAATATTTTCTAAGAAAAGGAAGGAAATATTCAAAAATTCCCACCAGCGATAACTTAAACTCTCTATTAGATTGTTTTCATCTTCAATACATCATTTGAAAAAGTCAATATTTTTCCAAGCAAAGGAAGGAAATATTCAAAAATTCCTATCAGCGACAACTTAAAGTCTCTATTATATTTTTTTTCTTCTTTAATACATCATTTGAAAAAGTCAATATTTTCCAATAAAAAGAAGGGAATATTCAAAACTTCCTACATGCGACAACTTAAACCATTATAGCGTTTAAACAACTCTTTTTTATGTAATACCGTCTCACGTAACAAGACCCGTTTGATTGTTCAGTCGTTTAATTTAATATGGAAGTAAAACTTGTGCGCCGATCGACCAGTGCGCAATTTACTTTTAACCCAAACACTCTATCTGGATCTTTTCTGTCTTGCTTACAACCATGAAATGTAAGTTAATGAAATTTTCGTGATTTTACCCCCACGCAATATTAATTACGTGCTGGGAAACGTTTAATCTACGTGGTGCTGCCGGATTTTATTTACGTTTTTACCTCCGAAGAATATTTGTTTTCGGCACTGTCAAACGAAACACGTGCGAAAATTAAAAACAAAAACGGAAACTATAGGCGCATTTCGGAAGCTTACCGGAATTGAAGATGTTTTAATCCGATACAAAATGAAAGAAGGATCTAACCTTGAAGAAAAACAACTTTCGGCGATTTCTAACTTTTAGCTAAGGCGCATTACATTGAAGCATTCTAACTTTTACGTTTTCAGGAGTGACTTATGTTCAATTTTCTACCCTGGCTAACAGTTGTCAACTCAAAGCCAAACGAATAAGTGACTCCTGAAAGTTTCTCTCTAAGAAATATTTTCAACATCTCCAGCCAATATTGTATTTA